AAGGTCGGCAGTTCAAATGTACCACAGCAATGAGTTTGTTTTTTTTTTTTTTTGGTTTAGGGAGATATGTAAGAAAACTGTAAAACTTCACTAAGGAACTAAAAAGACAACTTAAAAAAAAGTCCTGGGCAAAGATGTCCATTGTCCCTAAATTAAAGAATTTATGGGCGAGGATAAAGACATGAGAATTGCTAAGACAATTTTGAAGGAGGGGTGGAACAGGACACACACTCTTAGATAAGTAACTTAAAAGATTATAAAGCTACAACGTTCAAAACAATATGATGCTGGATCAAAACCAAATATAACAACAAAACAGAATTGAAATTCCAGGTATAGTTCCTACTCTAAGTAAGGAGGAGTCCCTGGGTGGTGCAGTTAACGCATTCAGCTGCTAACTGAAAGGTCAGGGTTCGAGTCCACACACAGGTGCCTGGAAAGAAAGGCCTGGAGATCTACTTCTGAAAAATCAGCCACTGAAAAGTCCTATGGACCACAGCTGTAGTATGACACACATGGGGTCACCATGAGTAGAACTGACTCCACACCAACTGATTGGTTAGCTGGTCACAGTACATGATAAAGGAGACATTTCAAATCAGTAATAAATGGTACTGAAAAAATTAGTTAACAATTTGGAAAAATCAGGACTCTCTACCTCAACTATATACCAATACATTTCAGATGGATAACAGTTAATATAAACAAAACTGAAGAACTAATAGAATGACAACCAAAAATGCCCCCAGACACTGCTAAATGTCCCCTGGTGGGGAGGGGGGGACCAGGGGGTCAAACCTGCCTACAGATGAGAACCACCGTTTTTGACAATGATGCGAACATACTGGCTAGTGAAGAAGAGAATGGTAGTATTGAGACATCATGTGTATTATTTATATCTTAAGGTCAGAGAGAAGAAGTCATAAAGAACTAACAACTTGCCTCAAGGCATTATTAATCAATAACAGAGCTGAATCTAAAAGCTAGGTTTCATAATTTCTGGTCTCATTCAACCATTCACTGCAGCAATGCTTCAACAGTAAAAAACTGGTAACAATCTACTAAATCTGTATCAGCAGGAGAATGGATAAACTACAAAATAGTTATACACTGGATATTACACAGCACTTTAATGAAGCAAACACATACATTAATGTCGACAAATCTCAATGTGTAAAAAGGGTAAATTATAGGATATGTATAACTCCATTTATTTAAATTTTAAAAGCCTGCAAAATAATACTATGTATTGTTTATGCATACATAGTATGGAGGAAAAAATACAAGAACACGGAGGGTAATAAAAAATACTAGAATCATGATAGTGGTTAACTCTGGATAAGGTGGTAACGAAATTGGTTTGGGGAGGGTACGCAGGCCACAACTATATCTACAACATTTTTCTTTCAAAAAATCTGAAGCAAATGTGGCAAAAGATTAATGCTTGATAAAGTTGGGTGGTGGGTACAACGTAGTATATTATTCTCCAATGTTTGTCTGTATACCTGAAATATTTCATAGAATAATGTACTTACAAGTCTTGGGAATGTAAGCTGAGGTGTCAAACGAGAGCTAAGGTTTAAAAAGTGCTTACTGTGGGATGGGGAGTCTCTGGGTGGTAAAAATGGTTAATGCACTGAGCTGCTAAGCAAAAGGTTGGAGGTTCAAGTCCACCTAGAGGTACCCTCGAAGGCCTGGCACTCTACTTCTGAAAATTCAGCCAATGAAAACCCTACAGAGCTGTTGTACTCTGACACATACAGGGTATTCATGAGTCGGAATCGACTCAACAGCAACTGGTTGCTGTGATAGGCATTCCACTACACTGCAATCACACAGAATGGGATAGGTAAAGCATATGCATTTTACAAATGAGGAAACTAAGGCTCAGAAGTTAAGCAAATTTTGTCCATCTAAGATCATTCAATTCTAAGTGGGAGAGCAGGATTTGAACCTAAGTTTTTCTGAACTTCAAAGTCTTTTCATGTGTTGTTCCCAATGACTGAAAGACTCTTTACCCAGATCTTCACACAGCCTGCTCTCAAACCTCATTCAGGTTTTTGCTCAAAAGTCACTCCCTTACAGAAGCAGAAGCCTTTGTTAATCACCCAAACCAGGTCACCCCACTCTGGGTCACTTTCCATCACCTTACCTGGCTTTATTTTTCTTCAGGGCACTTACCGCTACCTAAAATCATATTATATCTTGACCAGTCTGCCTTTTTATTGTATGTCTCCTCAACTAGAACATACATTCATAAAAACTGGAACTTGGCTTTATTTACTACTATACTCTCAGTGTCCAGCATATAGTAGTACCGATAGGTATTTGGTCTCAGCTACTTTATTATACTGCCACTCTATATAAAAAAACTAAGGGAAATTCCTAGTCATTGGGACTAAAGAAACATACACATTTTAGGTTAAAAAAAAAAAGTAAACAAATCAGATTAAGTACTTATACAGTTACAAAACTTCTAAACTTACCTCTACAGCAGGATAATAGTTATAATTCCAGTACCAAAAGGTTTTGGGTAGATAACCTTTGATTAAGTGGTGTTCCGGTACAAAGGGATGAAAAGTTTCTTTTCCAGTGTTATCTCTGGAATCTCCTGCTTCTACATTTACAATTTCCATGCATCTCCCCAGTGCTAAGTCTTCAATGGAGGAACTGTGTGTACATTTGTCCGTTTTGAATGCATCAACAAATCTCTTCAAGGCTTCTTTGCTCAGTACATATCCTGCTCCTCCACTCATGTAGCCCTGCTTTACATAGGGCTTAAATCTTCTCCCAAAGTAAATAGGTTTTTCAGGGTTGTATTTTGAGAGAAGCCATCTCAAATTGTCTAGTGCAACATATGTATCATCATCTGCTTTCATAAACCAATCAGCATCTTCTAAATAATGGTCATGAACATACTGAAAAGCTTTAATTGTTTTCCAGTACAGTTGGTCCCTGCCTTCTTTAGTTTTTAATCCCACGGTAGGGAAGTCTTTATTTTCTTCTGAACTCATAAACAACATTTTATTACAATGCTGGGCCCACGTAGCTTTGACATGTTTGGCCTTTTTCTCTAGATTTTGAGGCCCTGTCATTACCCAGCAAAGAATTTTAACTTTCTGATAGAGTTTTTCAGAGATGTCTGTGTTCTCATCTATTAAACAAAAAAAAAATTATATAGATATAAAATCCAAATTACATGCAAGAAAGCATTTTCATAGACAATTTCAAAGACCTCTCCTTTCTATTCACTCATCTATCATTAGTGACTTAGCTGAAAAAAAGCAAAACTCAACCTAATGTGAACTGACATTCTGTTTATTGGTTTCATGTCAATCTCATCCAGGAGATCAGTGGAACTAACAAGAGTTGTCACTATAACTTAAATTCACACTACTCAAATTGTAGTTCATTGATCAAACAGCACAGGCATCGCCTGGGACTTTGTTAGAAATGCAGAATCTCAGGCCCCACTCCAGACTTACTGAACCATAATCTGCATTTTAGCAAGTTCTGTTGGTGATTTGTATGCACCTTAAGCGCTGCCTTAAATAGCCTCTGCTTTTCACTTCATGCTACAAAGAAAGTTTCAGCTGATTCTCAACAGTACGTTGACAAGAATTTCTCACTGCTCTGAATGAGCTTCTGAAGGATAGGAAAGACATGCTGCTTAAGTGGCAATCGTTACCTATTTCATCATTTTGGAGCTCACAAGAGTCTATGAGTTTTCAACAAGTACCGAGATGGTCTTAAAAGTTTTCGTGATTACCCCAATTTGAAGAAGAGTCAAGGCAAGATTGAGATTACTTTTGACAGTAATATACCTCATTTCAAAATATAAATCCACCAATCAGAAAGAGAACAAGTTAGAGGCAGCATTTCCAAGACTGTCTAGAACAGTGTTATTCGAAGTACCAGTTTGCAAAGAAACAAGACAGCTTATGCCAGAAGATAAAACATACTACACCTTTTAGAAAGTCTTACTATTAAAAAAAAAAAAAATCCACTTAACTAAACAATGAATTTAAAGACTTAACTGATTTACATCCTGGTGCAGACAGGTAACAAATAATTCACAAGCTGTCAGATCTAGGACCACATTTTGAGTAGCACTGGACAAGAGTCCATATGAGACTCTAGACCAGTGCTTCTCAAACTATCCGTGGTGAAGGGCCACTTTTTATTTCTAATACTGGAAACATATACTTCCATAAAGTATGATAAAGAATTACGAGGATAAAGTTTAAAAAAGAAATACAAAATTCTACAGTAATTCATAGATTCAGACAAAATTACTCTGTCAAATTAACACAAAAGTTTCTAAATATTCCCTCCTAATTTCCATACTTATTTTGTTGCTGACCTTTAACAAAGTGTGGATCAACACAGTCTGCAGACCACACTTTGAGGAGCAATGCTCTAGGCAGTATTTTGAGGAAGCATACCCTTAGAGTCAATCAGTGAATTGCAACAAAATTTCTAGTTAACTAATTGAGAGGGAGAAAAAGGAAAGGTTGGGCAGGGCATGAAAATATTCTCAGGTCCCTCTGAATATCAAACTCCACACTACGAAAGGACAAAAGCAGACAAAATTATCCTGTTTTTAGTCAGAGAGTATTCACAGCCTACATACTTCAGGAACCCATTCTCCTAGCTATACAGATATACACGCCCCTGGATGAAGAGAAAAATTGGTGGATGCAGGAATCCCCAATCTGTTTCACTCAAAGCAAGACAGCGTTCTCCCCAGTTCTAGGGTCTGGAAGAAAACTTGTTCTCATTCTTTCAATTATTCAATCATTACTTACTTTGTACCTAGCATGCGCTGGCACTAAAGATGAAAGGATGAATAAGACATTATTTCCTACCACAGAGGAATTCACAGTCTAGTGGAGGAGCCTGATATGCAAACCAATAACTGCCAAATACAAAGATATTCTATAATAGAGGAATGTTCAATGTGCTGAGGAAAAATAAAGCAGTAACTGATAAATCCCACAGAGCAGAGGGATGGATGCTTGGGTAGAAAAGAGAAGCGAGACATCAAGGGATACTAGGAAAACTAAGAGATGAAGGGGAAAGTAGGTCTTTGAATGGGTAGATGCTCACCAGAAGAAAGGACAAAAAGCATGGTGAAGTTTGGTTGAGTACAGATACATGCGTATTGCTGCAGGTCTGAACTAGGGGAAACGCAGTGTGGATTGAGAGGGCAGACAAACTTGAACTCATAAAGAAGCAGAACTGTTAGAATTTAGTGACAAATGGGGTTGACTGGTAAGCAAAGAAGCCTGGAGAAAACCAACGTTTAAGGATTCAATTGAGAAAATCTGGTTAGAGATAGGAGCCCAGGGAAAATGGAATTTTTGTAACACATCCTCAGCTTTCTACTTCCGTAGTTCTTTATTCCTCTCAAAAGGATAATATTGGTTATATTAGCTACTGATAAAAATATAAATTGAGACTTATATACTTCTTGAGTGTCTCCAGGAAAACAAGACTAAGCCAAAACAAGACAATAGCAAAAATCAGACACAGATACAAACCATGAAAAATAAGACCTAAAGAACAATTTTCAGAAACAAATCTAATCTGGAAAGTTATATCTTTCCCCAAATTACAGTTCCTGAACTTTTCCTACTTAAACATAACTTTAAAATGAATGTCTTACTCCCTAAATAAATCTGGGTTTTAGCAATTTCCTTCTCCTGAGGCAAACCAAGAATTATTGTAACTTAATATCTGGAATAGAGAGCTCATTTTCATCAACAAATATATCACAAAATTCAAATAACTTTTCGCAATTCTCCTAATACTTTCAGAGACTGAAATACTGCTTATGTGTACTCCTTAATAAAATAAACAATACCTGCATGTTGGCTGGCATCGGCATTGAAGTTCATCTGCCCTTCTAGATGATTATGTCCATTATCATCAAAATGTCTAGCATGGGGATCATTATGAAGAATATTAGGCTGGGTGTCACCCTGTTCTCCCAACAAAATACTAAATAGCTGAGAACATAAAAAAAATCCGATTGCTGATCCACAGAGGAATGATAAAAAATTCAGCCAAGATTTAGAGGCCATTTCCCGAAATTGTATTTCTGTAAGAAAAAAAAAAATTAGCAGGATGATATAAAATAATAAAGCAATATACACACCAAGAGTAAAAAGTAATAACTTTTAGTTATAACCAGTTGCAGTTGAGTTTTCCTATTTATGGCGACCCCATGTGTGTCAGAGTAGAACTGTGCTCCATAGGGTTTTCAATGATGATATTCTGGAAGTAGATTGCAGGCCTTTCTTCTGAGGTGCCTCTGGATGAACTCAACCTTCCAACCTTTTGGTTAACAGCCCAGTATGTTAACCATTTGCACCACCCAAGAGCCTTTCACTTATACTGGTAGCTAATTCCTTCCATATAGGAAAATATTTCTAACAGTACTTAACTTCTGATTCTTTCCATTACTCCAAGTTTTACACTTATATACAAATGCCTACTAAACATTTCCACCTGGACCATGAAACCAAAAAATCCAGATCTGTTGCTGTAGAGTCTATTCTGACTCATAGTGAGCCTATATGATGGAACTGAACTGCCCCATAGGGTTTCCAAGGCTGTAAATCTTTATAGGAGCAGAGTGCCACATCTTTCTCCTGTGGAGAACCATAGGCATCTCCAATTCAGCATGTCCAAAAGTGAATCATTATCTTAAACTCTTAAACCTGCTCACCTTATCTAAATTACTGATAATCACCTAAATTACCCACCAATGGACTTCCATTTCAATTGGAGCTATCTGATTATCTAAGCTACAAGTCAAAGAGACATCCTTGATTCTCCCGTTACCCTCACTAGATATCCAATTACCAAATCCTGCCAATTTATTTCCTAAATATTTGTTTAATCCATTTTCTACTTGTCCTACTTCAGACCCTTATCTCTTCCCTAGGCTAGCGCAATATGTAACCTGTCTCCTTGCCTCAAGTGCTGTCTCTCCTCAACTCATTTCCATCTGTCACCAGAATGACCTAACAAAAATTAAAAGTTGACTACATCACCCTATAAATCCTTCAGTGGATCCCTACTGCCAACAAGACAAAAATGAAGCATCTTTAATTAACATGATATACAGAAGCTCTCTTTGATCTGGACTCGGTCCAGGTTTCTAGCCACTAGGTGCCAGTAGCACCATGACTCCCCAGTTGTGACAACGAAACTGTCTGCAAACCAACAACCCAATGCTGTAGAGTCGAGCTGATTCCGACCCATAGCGACCATGCAGGACAGAGCAGAATTGCCCCACAGGGATTCTAAGGCTGTAATCTCTACGGATTACAGATCTGAAGTTATACACAATTTGGTATGGTTCTTTGCATACTTTGCCATATAATTCCTTATATCAAGAAGATGGAAGAAATACACAGTCACTGTCTCAAAAAGAACTGGTCGACGTTCAGCCATTTCAGGAGGTAGCATATGATCAAGAACCATAGTACTGAAGGAAGAAGTCCAAGCTCCACTGAACGCATTGACAAAAAACAAGGCTCCAGAATTTGACGGAATACCAACTGAGATGTTTCAACAAACAGATACAATGCTGAAGTACTCACTTGCCTATGCCAAGAAATTTGGAAGACTGCTACCGGGCCAATCGTCTGGAAGAGATCCATATTTGTGCCCATTCCAAAGAAGGGTGATGCAACAGAATACAGAAGTTATCGAACCATTATCATTAACATCACACACAAGTAAAATTGTGCTGAAGATAATTCAAAAACGGTTGCAGCATTACATCAACAAGGAACTGCCAGAAATACAAGCAAGATTCAGAAGAGGACGTGGAATGAGGGATACCATTGCTGATGTCAGATGGACCTTGGCTGAAAGCAGAGAGTATCAGAAAGATATCTACCTGTGTTTTATTGACTACACAAAGGCACTGGATGTGTGGATCATAACAAATTATGAACAACATTGCAAAGAATGGGAATAGACCAAGAGGCAGTTATTCCACCACAACAAGGGGATACTGCATGGTTTAAAATCAGGAAAGATGTGCATCAAGGTTGTATCTTTTCACCACACTTATTCAATCTCTCTGCTGAGCAAACAGTCCAAGAAGTTTGAATATATGAACTTGCGACATGGATGACACAACCTTGCTTGCTGAAAGTAAACACGACTTGAAGCACTTACTGGTGGAGATCAATGACTACAGCCTTCAGTATGGATTACACCTTGACATAAAGAAAACAAAACTGGACCAATAAGCAACATCATGATAAAATGAAGTTGTCAAGGATTTCAATGTCCATGGAAACAGCAGTCAAGAAATCAAATGATGTATTGCATTGGGCAAATCTGCTGCAAAAGACCTCTTTCAAGTGTTAGAAAGCAAAGATGTCACCTTGAGGACTAAGGTGCACCTGACCCAAGCCATGGTATTTTCAATCACCTCATTTGCATGTGAAAGCTGGACAATGAATAAAAAAGAAGAACTGATGCATTTGAATTATGGTGAAGAATACTGAATATAGCATGGACTGCCAGAAGGAACAAATCTGTCTCGGAAGAAGTACGGCCAGAATGCTCCTTAGAAACGAGGATGGCGAGACTTTCATCTCATGTACTCTGAACACGTTATTAGAAGGGACCAGTCACTGGAGAAGGACATCATGTTTGGTAGAGGGTCAGCAAAAACCAGGAAGACTCTCAACGAGATGGACTGACACAGTGGCTATAACAATGGGCTCAAACATAGCAACGATTGTGAGGATGGTACAGGGTCGGGCAGTGTTTTGTTCTGTTGTGCACAGGATTGCTATGAGTTGGAACTGACTTGACGACACCTAACAACAACAACAATCCTTACAGAAGCAGACTGCCTCATCTTTCTCCCAAGGAGCGGCTGGTGGGTTCCAACTTCCGACTCAGTTAGCAGCTGAGCACTTAAACTACTGCACCACCAGGGCCAAATCGGCCTGGATGAGAACCACTCCGATAAGGTGTTAAAATTAATTTATAATATATATAAGAATCTATACAGACTAATTGTTTAACACTTGTTGCCTTTGTGGAGGGAAACTGAGTGACTGAGGTAACTAGAGTGGGAAGAAAAAAAAGTTACTTTCCTTCTTCAGTCTATTTTGACAAGTAGCCAAAGTAATCCTTCCTTTTAAAACTTAGATCATCAGCTCAAAACCCTCTAGTGCTCTCAGGGAGAAATCTAAAACCTTAAGATGACTTTTACACAATCTGTCATCCTACCCTCACCCCTTTTGTTCTGATTTCTCCTCCTAGCACAGTGTTTGGTGTTTTTGTAGGTAAAAATGAATGAATACCAGCATTTTCACAGGATAAAAACTAACACTATCTGCTTTCCTTGCCGTGTTCTAGCTCTGTACTCCTTGCTGTTCTCTGCTAGGAACACATCTCAGCCAGATACTCACAAGGCTCACTCTCTAACTCCTTCAAGTTTCTACTTCTTGCGGGTCTACCCTATAGCACCTCTCAAAATCTAATATACTACAAATTTTACTTATTCATCTAATTTATTGTCTCTCTTCTCCATCTTGATCAGTGGTGCTCAAACCTGAGTCTGCATCAGAATCACCTTGAAGTCTTGTTAAAACAGTTTCCAGAGCACGAAAATCTGCATTTCTAAAAGGTTCCCAGGTGATGGTGATGCTGTGGATCCAAAGGTCACATTTTGAGAACCAATGCTGTAGAATGTAAGCTCCATGTGGACATTTCTGCCCATTTGTTCACTGCTGTATCACTAATGCCTGGTACACAGTAAGCACCCATATATATGAATGAATTTAGAATCACCCCACTCTGTTCCCACTGTATCCTGTACTTTAAACATTTACTGAACACTATAAGATAAAGAGGAGCCCTGGTGACACACTGGTTAAGCACTGGGCTACTAACTGAAAGGTCCATGGTTCGAATCCACCAGCTGCTCTGTAGGACAAAGATGTGGCAGTCTGCTTCCATAAAGATTTACAGCCTTGGAAACCCTATGAGGTAGTTCTACCCTGTCCTATAGGGTCATTATGAATTGGAATCGACTCGATGGCAGTGAGTTTGCTATAGGATAAACTAAACTATGTGACCAAGTATGCCAATAACTACACTAAATTGTATATAATCTCAAATTTGCCTATTATCCAGCTTCTATCAGTTTAAATGTACTTTAATATGTAGCTTTCATTGTATACTAATCAAATTTCCTGTTTTATAATCTCCTCAATTTACTAATCACTTTCCCTGTCCTCCAACAATGTGCAAGGCAGCCCATACTACAGGTGTTAATTTATTCAGACTTTCTTTTTGGTTTCTCCCACATTCTTATGGGTTTCTCTAACTCAGAAATACAAGCTTTGTATTTTCTTCTCAAAGGGACACTTCCTATTTTCACACACTACAGATTTGGGCATGTATTCTTTCCTCAGTTATTTGAATTAGTTGCAAAAGTGAAAAATTATTATTTTAAATACACATTAGGGTTCTTCTCAAACCAGATTTTAAGGTAAAATGCTAACTTCCCTTTTTACAGAACAACTCCTTCCCCATCCCTCTACTTTTAAAAGAATTACCTTGATCCTACTGAATTTTGGGTAACAAGAATTTTGTCATACCTTTCTTTTATCCTTGCTATAGCTTATACACCAGCCTCTTTACTCAAATCTCAACAAGTCTTTTTAAAGTAAGATGTCTGTACTGGAAAGCTTAAAATTTTAAGTGTATCTGAATTGAATTTCAGCACTGAGTTGCCCATTTTCTACTGAATGTTTATTTATAGCTGTACTGTCACAAGAATTCCAATCAGGGATTTCACCACACAGACGCTACTTCAAATTACTATGATTTACAAAGTTTATAAATTGTAAAATGCAATCTTTACCTTACAGCACAAATCAATACACAAATAGAAGATAACATATACCCAGTGACACACTATTGTATTTCTAAGACTAAGTGAATATAAGTTAATCATATGTACTCCTAAGTTCGTAAAATTTTAAGAATTTCTGGATAATAAATTTACTAAAAAATATAGACTAATAGTCTGGAAAAAAAAAAAGCATAACCATCTCTAAATGGGTAGTAACCACAGAATATTTTAAAATGCTGAGTCCTAAATAAAAAGATACAGAAAAACACAAATTTCAGGCATATTTAAGACAGGCATTTAATAGTTTGTCACTGGTACTGTAAAATCATACTATTTTCCTATGAAGAATTTCAAATGAGTCATACTTTCTTTATGAAATCACTGTTTTACTTAACATATGGTGAAAACAGTTAACTGCTTTCCAATGTGAAACTTTATATTCACTTAAATTGTACATCAACACACTAAAGCTGGTAGAAAATAAAAACAAGTATAGGTTACTATGTACAATACTTCGTCCTCACAATATCACACGTATAAGGCTTACTTTAACATCTATCTGATAAAGAAGAGGAAAGATGTCATCAAAATAATTTCTAAAAACTCATACTCCCACTGCCTAAACTTACACCAGGACTAAACAATGTGAAATTATACACGACACTCTTTCGTAGCACCAGACAGAGCTCTACGTTCTATGCTCAATTTTTAATAAGTGAACACAGTTCTGGCCCTTACACACTGGCCTAATTATCCCCTCTGATGCATTCAAGTTCTGACTTTATAACTAACTTTAAATTCATAGTGAAAATCAATTCACGGCTAGCATAGTAACTTTTCAATCTAAAAAGCGTTGAAAGGAAATACCTCAAAATTTAGAATAGATTTAGAGAACGAGATTATAAATTTGATCAACTTTTCCTGAATGTGTACTCCCCACCCGCAACTTTCTAAATAACGGAGAGGGCAAGGGCTGAACCCAAACCAAACCTGGTACCGTTGAGTCGATTCCGACTTATGGAAGGAAAAACAAATCCTCTCCTGAATTATGGTTATCTTTTAAAAATATACAATTTACCCAAATTCAAAGCTGTATGGACAACTTGTGAGCACCTACCAATGCCGTCACATTTTGTTTAGGGGGGAGAAAGTGAGAAAAGATGGGTGATGAAAGAAAATTCTTTTCCTCTTTCAAGCAGCAAGTACCCTGACACACCTGGCTCGTTCACTCTACTAGCAAAAAAGAAACTTGGGAAGAGGGGGAAAAAAACAAAAAGGCGCCAGACAAACCTGATGATCCAAGCAAGCCCGAAGCAAGTCCCCGGGCACTTCTGGAAGGCTCCCGCTCGCTGGCGCTCCGGCGGCGCGGCAGCCCCGCGGCTCTCGGGAAGGTGCCTCAGGCAGAAACGCCGAGTCCAGCCCGACCCACAGGTCAGGAGGCGGCCCGGGAGGAAGCGCGGTGGGGGCGTAGCGAAGCAGGACCGCTAAGCGGTCCAGCCGGGATCCCCTAGCGCAGCCCGCGCCTCACCACCGCTACTCAACGCCAGCGCGCTAGGGTAACCGGGAAGGACCCACAACGAGGAGGCGGCTACATGTCAACAAAATAGCGGCACGGTGAGCACGCTGCCCTACCACAGCTCGTTGAGGAGCCGGGGAGAAGGAAGTGCCCCGCGCCTCCCTCAAGAGCCCTGACCCCTCTTCGCCCTAGCTCCGACGAGGAACACCTGTTTGGCTAGGCCAGGGGTTTGGTTACACCTTCCACGCTCCCCCCGCACCCTCAATACATACACACTCGAAAGAGGGAGGGCGAGCGGAGCAGAGACCTTGGACCCGCAGTCTGAGGGCGCCTCCGCCGGCCGTACCTGACATCAGCTGGGGCTCCCTCTCACCCTTCCTGGGGGCGGAGAGGGGGACGACACGGGGCCGGCGACCGTCGCTCCTCTCGGCAGCCGCAGAGGCGCTCGGGCCGCTGGCCGGGGCCGCCCGCTGCTACCCAGAGCATACCCGCGCAGCGGCAGCAACAGCGGCGGCGGCCGAAGCGGGCCTTGCGCGCGCTCCCGCCCGCTCGCTCCGCCCCTCCCCGCAGCGCGTCCACGCCACGGCCCGCCTACAGCGCAGCCACCGCCCAGGGGTCTCCTAGCGCCGACGTCGCCCCCGCCGCACCAGCCTTAGGGAAGGGCGGAGCGGGAGGGGGCAGGGAGGGGCGGGTCAACTGCGACGTGCGGACGCGAGGATTGGCCACCGAGCGCACGCTCCGCCCTTCTGCGAAGGGGCCTGGGAAGTCTGGGCCGTCTAGGAGCTATAGGTTGAGCCGCAGCCTCGTGGCTTCTGTCTTCCGGTCTCCACATTTGTGATTCGGCTGTAGGCCCGTGCCCTAATCTCCGGATTTGAGGGCGAGTAATGGAAGGAAGCCACGGGGACTGAGGCTGGAGGTGCTTGTAGAACCTTTGGGGGACAGAGTCTAACCCTGCAGGAGTCTCTTGACCTCTAGCCTGCTTTTAACTCGTCCATTTTTTGTCTGTTCTTTCTCCATCTTCTCATTACTTAGTCTCTCTCTAGCCATAGTGAAAGGAAATACAGCAAGATAAGGTATGCAAACGGATGCGGGTTAACCAGAGTAGTGAACCAGGAAGGGCCGAAAACCCGTATAGTGATACCACAAAGCCTCTTGTAGGCACACATGATGTTTGGTTCTGTCAGTACTCCAGGCAATGGCAGGAAGAGGTTCCTCTGGCTTTGCAAAACTCATCTCCCTTTTCTTTGGCAAAAGGGCTGTGAATCCAGAAGCTGCCTTTGGAATAGAACTGCAGCCCGTTGAGGCAACCCTACTGAAGTCAGAAGGTGGGAGAAGGTCTAGACCCTATAGGCATTAACCATCTACAAGGCCAATCTCGACGGTGGGAAAGCTACCCGGCTTCCTTTAAGTACCCTCTTCAGGCAGTTCTTTAGTGGCCTATGACGTGGAGATTAAGAGAGTGTGGGCTCTGAAATCAGACCACCTGGGCTGGAATCCTGGTCCCTCCACCTATTAGTTGTGTAACCTTGATAAGTTTCTTAACAGCATGCCTGAGAGAAATAATAAACAAGTTATGTTAGTTGTTGTTGTTATTTTCCCTTTAATTTGCTTAGTTTCAGCTCTCGTGTAGTGTGCCAGAACACTCCATCAATGGATCCAAAAGAATCATCCAAACGAATTTTAAAGCTTAAAGCACATCTAGTGATTCTAATCCAAATCTCTAATTTTTCAGGTGAGAAAATTGAAGTCCAGAGAATTAAACTGATGTGCTCATCATGGAAGCGCAGGTAGCCTGATTCCCCAGGTTAGTGCTCTTTCCATAGTCCACACCTGGAGACTTCTCTCCCTTACATCCTTACCTCCATCTTTTCTGTTCCCCAACTTGTGTACAGTTGTTGCTCAGCCTCACCCTCTTCCCTTTTAACAGTTAAACCAGTTGCTGTTGAGTCGATTCCAACTCATGATGACCCCATATGTGTCAGAGTAGGAGTGTGTGCCATAGGGTTTTCAACAGCTGATTTTTTGGAAGTAGATTTCCAGGCCTTTCTTTCGAGGTGCTTCTGAGTGGACTCAAACCTTCAACCTTTCAGTTAGCAGCCAAACATGTTAACCATTTGTACCACCCAGGGATTAAAGAATGTTCTTTTTGACTTGGGAGACATCTATATCCATTGGTACAACATAATACATAAAGAACGTTTTGCACCCTACTTTGGTGAGTAGCACCTGGGGTCTTAAAAGATTGCAAACGACCATCTAAGATACAACAATTGGTGTCTTCTCGTCCAGAGCAAAAGAGAGTGAAAAAAACCAAAGACTCAAGGGAGTAATTAGTCCAAAGGACCAATGGACCACAGGAACCACGGTCTATGTGACCCTGAGACCAGAAGTACTAGATGGTGCCTGGCCCACTGCCCGCTACTCTGACTGGGGTCACAACAGATGGTCCTGGTCAGAGAGGGAGAAAATTGTAGAACAAAAAATTAAATTCACAAAAAAGACCAGACTTACTGGTCTGACAGAGACTGGAGTAACTCCTGGGACTATGGCCCTAAGATACCCGTCTCACGTGGAACTGAAGCCATTCCCAGAGACCACCTCCCAGACAAACAGTAGACAAGCACATATGTTAAACAATAACACCCGAGAAATTATAAAGGCGTTATCAAAAGGCATTATCTGTCCTAAAGCAACAATGAGAAGGCGGGAGGAGAGAGAAAATGAGGACGAAAGAAAATGGGGAACCCAGAGTGAAAATGAGGAGAGTGCTGACACATTGTGGGGCTGAAACCAAGGTCATGAAACACTTTTTGTACAAACTGTTGAGTGGGAGACTAATTTGCTCTGTAAACTTTAACCTAATGCACAATTTAAAAAAAAATAAAAGAATACCCTTCCAGAGATTGCAGTGCTCCAAACAGAAGGCAAAATAAAAAACCTGGGACTCTATCACATTTTAACTTTATTGAAAGGTATAGTGAATAACGAATAACATTTTTCCAGTAAAAGTTAAGAAATCCTTTCAAGGTTTCGTGCCTAAAAAAATTACTGGCAAGAAGAAATGTTGATATGAACAATACTGGATCAAATCATCTACTTTTTTGTTATTTTTGAAAATAGCTATTGTTTTTCTAAAAATGATATATACGTATTCAAACAAATTCAAAATGCAAATAATGCAAGGAAGATGTTTACAATTTGTGGGAATCCCATAATCTAGCCTTAAATGTCATTAAAATTTATTACATTCCCAGATACTTTTCTAAGAATAAAGAACACAAAGACATAAATGCAATATTTCATAAATTGGATCATACTATGTACAAACAGTTCTTAATTCATTCAAAAGTATACCATAAATAACAACATTTTAAAAATTGTATAGTGTCCATTGGATGGCTGTACCATCATTTATCTAACCGGTATTCTATAGATTGACTTTTTTTTTCAGATTTTTACTATTATAAAAAATCACATTGATGAATTTTCTTATACATATGCTTTTGCCCAAATATGCGATTATCTCCCTGGGCAAATTCCTAGAATTAATTCCTGGCATTAAATATCAGCCAATTCTTCAATGCTATCAACTACAAAAAAGAAAGTTGTGGTTACTTTGAAAAATATACTGCATATGTGGACTAAAAACTGACGAGATCCTCCCATTTGAAACACATAAACCTTGGATAATACTGTTGTCTCTCTGGTGTCTATTGTTTCAATAATGTATGTCAAAGCTCCTGGAGTAGGGTGGTAGACACTGCTGATTGTCTAAGCCAATATCCATTCTTCCTTACTAGTAGAACTCTTATTATTTTCAGGGTGACAATGTGTCCAGTAAAAGTAATTCATTTCCCCAGATACCTGTAAGCCGAAATGACCTGTCAATGAAATGAAAGTGGGTGTCCCTAGGAGGGCTCAGGGAAAGATTTATAAAAGAAATGTTCCAGTAGCCATTTGACCCACACGTCCCTTTTCTTACCTGAAACAGGGATGTGATACCAGGTGTGGAGCAGGTATATTTTGACCATAATAACAAAAACAACACACTATTAATAGTGTAGAAAACCAGGAGATGCCTGGGTTCATAATTGCTTAGTAGGCCACATTATCAGCTCTGCACTGCCCACTTCTGAACTGGTTGTTACTTGAGGGAAAATAAACCCCTCCCTATTTAAGCCTTTGTTATTTGGGTTTTCTGTTGTAAGTACTGAATGCAATTCCTAATTCAATAAGATAAGTCAAGTCACCATTCATTTAGCACCATATGTAGAATTCTGTAATGGGGTGAAATGAAAATGGGGACACAAAATGGAAACAAACAATAATAAAAACCCACTCTCTTCTCTAAGAGATTGGGTTTCCCTTAAAATACCCAAGTATTACAAATAGATCAACAAATCATTTCTATAAAGACTAAATTATTAAATTCTGTAAAATTAAATTCTGTTTGGTGGTGTGGCAGTTTTAAAATATGTCCAGAAAATTTTTGATGGCTTTTTCCTTCAAAAAGTGGAGCTTAATTCCCCTCTCCTTGAATTTGGGCTGTATTTAGTGACTTGCTTCTCACAAATAGGATATTGCAGAGATGGTAGAGTATGACTTCTGAATGGATATTATAAAAGGTGCCAGTTTTCATCTTGTTCTATTTCTGGAATTGCTTGCTGGAGGAAACTTGTTCCTCAAGTCAGGGAACATGCAGGCAGCTTATGGAGAGGCCCACATGGTGAGGAATTGAGGCTTCCAACCAACAGCCAGTATGGAGCTGAGGCCTTCTGACAACAGCTATGCAAGTGATCCTGGAAGAGGATCCTCTAGCCCTAGTTAAGTCTTCAGATGACTGCATCTCTGGTCAACGTCTCGACCTCAACCTCAGGAGAGGCCCTGAGCCAGAACCACTCAGCTAAGCCACTCCTAAACTCCTGACCCACAGAAACTGTAAGATAATAAATATTTCTTATTTAAAGTCACTAAGTTTTGGGGTAATTTCCTGCAATAGATCACTAATAAAGCTGGGTATGATAGAGCCTAGCACAGTGCCTGGCACATAAGCAAGTGTTCAATTATTTGTTGTTTGAATGAATTAACAATCGAATGATGTAACATATACGTTTTTCACTTTAAAGGGTAACATACAATGCTAGTATTATCTTTGATCCCTGACACTTAATATAAGGATTTTTTGGCATCATCATAGAGAAATCAACTGTGAATTTCACTAAAATTTGAATACTGACAGTCCTGGAAGTAACATATGGTGAATAGAGCAATAGAATCCCTGAGACTTGAAATCTCCTCCCAGTTTTATCACCAACTAGCTGAGTGACCTATGGCAAGTCACTTAACCTCTCTAAATGTCAATTTCCCTATCCATAAATTGGGAAAAATTAATCCCAACCTGCCTCCAAAAACAGTCATTGAGATTATACGTGACAGTGTAATTGTAAAGCATTAACGTTCTTTTAATTACATTAAGATCATGAGGTCTATCCTATTTTATATTTAAGCAATTAAGCATTAAGTATTTTAA